AGAAAATGAAGAAAACTTCAGGCGAATGAACTGGTGAATTCAATCCAGAAGGGTGATGGGAAAAGGTCACAGGAGAGGTGAGAATTTCATAAAAGAAATAAAACAGACTAAGGAAACATGGAAGAGAGCAGTACATGTCACATACCCTCAGAGAGCCCTGACTTGGCAAAAGAGGTGGTGGGATTGGATAACTCTAGAAGGGCAGGGGGAGAACATAGGAAATGGAAGATAAGTCCAGAACATACCTGAATGACAAATCCACCAAAGGGGAAAAAGGTTTGGGCAAGTCTCCTGAAACAACACGTGACTAAGAGGCATATTCAGGAGGGGCAAAAAAAGCTGTCCAAATTCAAAAGTAAAAGATCACTGAAACCCTTGTTAGGACATTCATCAGTACGTTCTGATTGTAGCATGAAAGTGGTCACCTCCCGACAATCCAGAGCCATCACTTCATGGGCTGAGAATGGTAGTGTCAACCCGTTAGATGTGGTCGGGAATTCTGCTGCTGCAGTAAGAGCAGTCGTGGTCATTACTACCCAAAACTGTGAGTGCATAACTCCAGAAATTGAAAGAGAAGAGAACATAAAATAAATCATAACTCTCCCAGAAACAGAACAAAATGATAAAACAAATTAACAGAATAAGAAATTCACGAAAGTAAAAGCAGTGTAGATAGGTTAATTAACCAAAAGCCAAAAACTGTGTATGATCAGTAGGACTGCCAATCGAGAAATGATTAACATGTGCATGGTTAGAGAAGGCACTAGTTACAATAGGGGTAGTGTTGCACTCCAATTGGTGGATGTTTGCTGCATGATCACTTGCATGTTAGTATGCAGTAATAAGTGGGAGTAACAAGGCTAGTGGCAAGCAAAAATTTGTGCCAATAGAGGGCAGTACAAGTCGTAAAAGCTATTTGTGAGAATATATGTTTGTTTGTTTGAAATTAAGCACAAAGCTACACAATGGGCTAGTTATGCTCTGCCCACCACAGGTATGAAAACCCGGTTTCTAGCACTGCAAGTTTGCAGACATACCGCTGTGCCATTGAAGGGGGGCTTGTGAGAGGAGGTAAAATACTTAAGATACTTACAATTTACACACTTAGTATAATTATCTAAATTGTTTTTTTTTTCTGACACACCAATAAGCACATTTACCTGGACAGTTATGCTGAGTGGCATTTCCATAATGTCCTTTTTTACAATATTCACAATGAGGCCCTTCAGTGTTGAACATGCAAAGAAGACATTCTCCTGTTACAGAGTCACAGCTTCCAGGAACTGTGATGTCAATGTTATCATTGCACATGCACCTCTGACATCTGCTTCCAGGCGCAGTTGGATTTCCATAGTAATTATCAGCACATTTATCACACCTTTCACCTGCAAGGAGAAACATTAAAAAATATCAAAACAATAGTCTGTTACTTAAAACTATAACCAATCTTATTTTTTTTCACAAAAATCTTACATCTCTCCATGTTATCCTCTTGATTTTAGTACACGTCACGAACATAACTTTGCTCAAACACTGACACAATTCTCTAACAGAATGACTTCCTCTATAACGATCTTTATGTCACAGGAAGGAAGGAAGACATTACAAAAATAACTGATCTCTCCCTTTTCTTCTAAAAGGATAATCATGGCAGTGGAACTTTTCTGTGGTATTACTAAGCACCAATATTGAAAGCAGGGTTGTGAAAAAAAATGTGTAAAGAGAATCAAGTAACAACAGGAATAAACCTGCTCTGATATCCATCTAAACCACCAAGATTAGATTCTTAAAAGAACAAAGCTGTGAAAAAATTATAACAATAAAATATATAAATAAAAAGTTAGAGAAAAAAAAAATGAACTGATGATCATTAACCTTTCTTTTGATAAAGTTTATGTCAGTATGTTTTGTAGCACTGCTTACATAAACATTTCACACTAGCGTAGTTGTGGCAATAAGCTGAGAACCATAAACCCCCAGATTCACAGGTCATGTTTAGATTACCTTATGACAGAATGCTATGTTTTTTGTCATGTATACTCAGAGCAGTGACTAATCATGAGAAAAACAATAACAACAAAAGTTCATACTGGTTAAGCAAACTTTGAAGGTAAGCATCCCATAATGAGGTGAGTTCCATCCTTAAAGTTTTTAAATAACCATGTTAATTTCATGGTAATAATACAATAAGTTATACTTAGTTGAAAATGACTAAAGTTATGCTTAAAACACTTGAATATCTTTACATGTAGAAGCAATAAACATTTTTATTGCTTTAAAGCAGAAGGCTTTACCTTTGTATCCTTCTTCACAATGACAAATGACCTTTTGCGTATGTACATCCAGATAACAACCTCGAGCATGATTTAATCCACTTTCTGCAGTCCCAGGGCAAGGACAGGGTTGGCATGGTATGTTCACTTCAATTCTGGGGTCACCATAGTAACCTGATATACATCTATATAGGAAAAACATCAGTCAATTTTAATTTTATTTATTAATATTTCTAAAGCTTACTGCTTTCAAACAATGCATAAAGAACACAAATAAATTATTTACTATACTTCATTCAGTAACTCCTAAGTGATCCCTATAATAACTACATGTGTAAAAAGCAATTGTTTTTTGTTTATTATCTCAAAATACAGTACCTACAAACTTTCTACAGTTTGTTGATAAATAAAAATAGCTCTGTGCTTTATAAGTTACTAATAAATAGATGTCATTATCACACCTATTGGCTTGTTTTAAAAGATTTGTCTTTCATATCTCCAATATTTTTAATTAAGTATTGCTATTTTATAGGAGGATACATTCCGTAATAAACAGTGAACCGCTTAAATATTATTAAAATATTTTATTAGCATAACCATGGGTCCTAGGTTCAAGCCCCACTCCTGGAGTCACTTTTGCTTCTTGGTTTGTCACTTAAAATATTTATGATGACAAGGAACCATCCTGAAGTAAATATATATATATATATATCGTAGAAACAGCCGAAAATCAACAAAACAACAAACAAAAAAACAATACATTGCCACATAACTTACATTCCAGATATAAGTGACAAAATAACTAACATTTGGAATAAACATATAACCAGACATAACATTCCAGAAAACCCTAAATTAATTCAAAAACCAGGAACCAAATTAAAATCTATGCTATGTAAAAATTACTCTGACAAACACAATACTAACATTATTTTTAAAATACAATGCAAGAACTGCCATGATTTCTATATCAGAGAAACAACCTGAAAGATGAAAATTAAAATCAATGAACATAAAAATACACCCTTCCATATTTTCTAACATTGTATCTCAAATAAACACAATATAACCATAGAAAACACTAACATACTACGTAAAAAAACAAATATAATCAAATGAAAACTTAAAGAAGCTCTTCTAACACAAGAACTTAAACTCACATTGAGCCAGCACCATGAAACATTTCTATACTTGTACTAATTATTTCCTTAAACGTTAACTACTGTACATAATAGATTATATATACACAATGCCCCTACAATCTTATACCTATCATTCCTGTCATCCCCACGACACGCGATCAATAACAGTCACATTTTCAAATTTCATTCTTAACCTGATGATGACCTAAGGTGGTCGAAACGTTGTTACTTGTTTGTGTTTTAAATAAAAGTTTTTAATACCCATGTCAGCCATCTCTACTATAAATACATGTAAAATATTTAATATTAATTATTATGACATAATAACATTACTAAAGTACAACACAGTTTTTAAACTAATAAGTCTATATCGTTTAATTTTGATTTTTACTAAATCATACTGTACATTTCTTTCTAGGTTAATATATGCATACAAACACCTGCCTATCACATTTTGGTCCTGTAGTAAAACTCTCACATTCCAAACAATATCCAGTCCTAGAGTCACAGATCTCTGTATGACCATTACATTCACAAAGTCTACAGTTGGGGTAATTCCAGAAACCAGGTTGGCATTCATCACAATGCTGACCATAAGTGTTAATACGACAACGACACTGTCCTGTCTCCATGTCACAAAAGTTATCCACAGAGCCAATATTATGGCAGCTGCATGCTAAAAAAAAATGTGATAGTAATTTTAATGTAAAAAGACCTAGCTTTTGTTCTAATAAATCAGATGACATGTTATGATACTAACTGAGAAGTTTAAAGTTACAGTTAAAAAGAAAGAGAGATGAATTCTGTTCAAAACATTTACTTCAAGCTTTTACTTTAGATTTCTAAAAATCAGATGTTTCACGTTTATAGGCACACTTCTTCAATACATCATCTTAAACTAGTAGTCTTTTGTTCTGTTCTTTAAGTAAAATTTATAATTTCTCACACACACACTTACCTCATTTAGAATAAAGTCCATACTAACTGTAGTTATCATCAAAATTTTAAACCTTATTTAAACAAAATCATAAACTTCAACAAGCTTTGTCTTTCAAATAAGTTCACAGATTCCAAATAAAACAAAAGTTTACTTTCTGAAGTTTTTGTTGTACATTTTTATCTCAGAACTTAAGTCAACCATCAAGAATATTTTATTTGAAGTCTAAAATTGTGAACTGATTTTAGTATATACAGCACAGTAATCTTTCATGAAATAAATAGTACACTTTTTTATGATGAATGTACAATATCTTTCAAAAGTATTCATTTACCATTCTTTTGAAAGCACCCTCAGATGCAAACAAATAACCATTCTCACATTCAAGCTAACTTATTACATAAATGATGCACTTCAAGAAAATATTGAGAGCTTTCAAATATAGTAACTTCTCAACTACATCCAAAAAAACAGTTTCACATCATCCATACTCAAAAGCAGTGTAAACATGGCTTTAAAACTAAAGTTGAAATATTGTTTGTATAAATCAATTTACTTGAACCTTACATATTTCAGTCATAAATAACCATAACATATTATATAGCAAGCCAGTAATTATATGCACACAAGGCTAAAACAGGCTAAAGTTTTGTAATAAATATTGCATTACACTACAAGTATGTTGTAACATACTTGTATACTATCATGAAATACTCATAAACAAGCAGTACCAACTATTACCAAATACTTAAATTGTAAAAGTAGTTATTCCAAGTGCTCTTGCATTTATTTATAATATAATAAAGTAGGTAACTTAATCACATAATATAATTCCCACGTGGAAGCTTTTGGTTTTCGCTACAAGAGCACACACAATAAAGGATAGACTTTGAAAAAACATATACTTACATGCACATCCTTTTGGACCAAAGCCAAATGTACCAGGAGCACATCGATCACATCTTCTACCTACAACATTTGGCTTACACTGACACTGGCCTCCCAATGGGTCACACTGCTCACTCAAGGAGCCAGTAAGATCACAATCACACTCTAAGTTGATATGAAAAATGATTAAGAAAACTAAAGAAACATACCAAGACACATAGCTGATAAATTTAATCATTATCATTATATGAAGTTAGTGTTAACAAGTTAGATTGTTCCCCATCAAAAATAAAAATTACTGCCTTTAACAGGTTATGCATGTTGTGAAATAAATGTGTGTTGTGTATCACATCATATTTGTCATTAAGGAGGTTTTTTAATACCTTTTCAATCACCAATGAAGTATGCTAAAATGATTTAGGTGTTTCAATAATGTTAGAGCTTGTGCATAAGTCATTATTCCATTTTATATATATATATCAAATCAGGTATTTAATAATTATATGTATATGTTACAGATTTCTTTTCATTCTCACTAAAGGTAAACTCAAAAAGAGAATCTATATAGTTTCTTCCAATGGTGTTCTTTATTTTTATTCCTGGTTGTAAGAAATAATCCAAGAGATAAAATAAAATATAAATGTACAAACAAAAGAACTTACTTAGACCTCCCCCAAATACAAAGAAACTGATGCTGTATAAAAACTTTTTGCATACTTCTGGTGGATCTCTGTCAGAGACAGAAAAAAAAACTTCTCCACAGCGAAATCTTTGAAATTCTTCTCGGTGTTTGTCACCTCCAGGAATTTCATTGAAAAATGGAATCCTATCAATCTGAGGTATCAGTGCAAGCTGAAAAAATAGACAATCCAAATATCCATCTCAATACTGAATTACAGATTAAATTAACTAAAATACACACACACACTAAAAATAACTTATCTGTTCAAAAAATATACAGTAGATACACCAAATAATATGATATTAATACCACTTTGTATAGGGTAATAATAGCATTCCTTTACCATGGTTGGTTTATTAGTATATTTGACCAATAACATCAATGAAATCTTACTAAAAATGTTTGTTCTATACAAACCATTTATATATTTTAGTAAAATTATATACAATAGTGTACAATGGATAATAAAGATCATGCTATGGCCATCTGGAAACTGCAGTTTTCACCAAACTATTTCTCATAAGCCAAACAAGATTTAACTGTACCATATTATCAGCTATCATCTTATATTTCTAGTTATTTTTAATTCTATTCAATCAACTACAATTTACAAGTATAGCTCAAATATTATGATGTAATAGTCTGAAGGTAACTCTCACACATTTAGTTATTTTAAATGGCTATATTGTCAACAAATACTAGAATTTAGTTAAATACTGTATGAATGAATTATCGATAAAAGACAAATATTCAAAATTCAGATATGGATAAACCTTTATAAATTCCATATAAAAATAATTTTCAGTATGATTAACAATATGCCAAAGCATACAAATATGACTTCATAAATCATCTTGGTTCTTTTTCTTATCTTTAAATCAATATTAATATAAGAATATAAAACAACTGTTAATTAATTGTAACACAGAGCTAATATTTATGGATTAATTCATGTAACAATGCCAATTAAACTTTTAGTAAGCATAATTATTTCTTTAAAATTTATTGTCAAACTTAACTGTACTTATGTACTCGAGTTGTAAATGTCACAGAGGTAAGAAGCTTGAGTACCAATAGATTTAACTGGTAAGTTTATTAAAATTTCTGTATCAAAAACCTATAATTATAAGCTAATGTTGCACTATGCAACACTTTAAATGTTTTTTATTAGAATTTATAAATTACAACAGATATTACATTCTGTGACTACATAAATCATATACGATTTATTTAATTTCATAGTAATTGGTTGGCATGAAAATATATTTCCAATAATATATACCTCTGCTGACACTATAGCTATTTCTCAATCTCCAGGGTTTCCACTCTTTGCCCATCTAAACATTGAAAACACTTGCTCCAGTCTTTTATACCCCACTCGAATGCCCTTGGCAAATTCTGATTTGCAAAAGTCTCCACCAACTTCAATGTGCCTTCTATTTAAGTACTGTATATAAGCACCACATTCAGATAATGAAATCACTTTTTTGAGAAACAAACAGGTTTTTGGTAGGGCAGGAGAGTATCAGTGGAAGTAAGTATTATTGGAAATACATTTTCAGGTTAGGAAAATGTTAACTTCCAAAATATACTTACCTCCACTGACACTATAGCTAGAATACCACACTGAGAAGGTGGAGGGACCAGTGCAGGCATGAACCGTACAGAAATCATCTGTATAGAATAGGAATGTACCAAGTTCAAAATGGTAAAAGAGTGGAGGAACTGTACTACATCCAGAACAGGTATAGGTTTGTGTCAAATTTGAAACAGAATAATCCCAAGTAACCAACTGAAGAAAAGGGGCTGGAGGTGGCTGATCAAGATGATCTTCTGTTGAGGCTGACCTAGTAAAAGAAGGAGACGTAAAAATAGAGTCTAAATTCTCCCCAACTTGTCCCGGGTCCTTTGCAAAAGCTGCCTCAGAACTCCCCGGTGAGACACTCTCGGTCCACATATATAACTCCATCTCACGATGGATCATATCCCAGACAGCTTTGACTGAGAATGACTCCTCCCCTGGCCGTTGACAAACACCAGATAGCAGAGGTGGAAAAAAAAGAGATCTGGTTGGTCTCCATAGCAGAAACATTAAGTTTGCAATTCATACCCATTGGTAATTTTTTTTTTTTTTTTTGTTCAAGTAATTTATAAATAGAAACAAAGATATAACCGTACTAATGCCAACCACGTTGAAAATCACAACATAATCTGTGAATAATCACAACACTCCTATTTATAGAAATCCGTGCTGAATGCTTTGTCGAGAAAAAGTTATTACATTATCTGAATGAGGTGTTGATATACAGTACCTAGATAGAGGGCGCATTGAAGTTGATGGAGAATTTGCCAAGAACAATCAAGCAGGGTATAAAAGACTGGAGCAAGTGTTTTCAATGCTTAGATGGGCAAAGAGTGGAAACCTTAGAGATCGAGAAATAGCTATAGTGTTAGCGGAGGTAAGTATGTTTTGGAATTGTGACTTTCAGGAATATTATTTGTGGCATAGTTATATGTACTCTTCTATTTTTTCATTTTTATATATGTTTTCAAATTTTCAAACTTAAATACATGAAAGACTTCACATACTTACAGAATCAATGTAAACAACAGCATGGGGACTATCTTTTTGTCGATTATAATACTCTAATTCAAGCCGAACCTGGTACCCCTTTCCTTTTTCTAGACAAGCCTTGGGATACACTACAACATACCTCTCTCCTGTAATATACACATGAGTAATGAAAATCAAAGGATCATAGAAAGCTATTTTTAACCATTTTCAGATAGCCTGGCTATTACAATATATATATATATACACTCACATATACACCTATCCAAAAATATATTACAACTTGAACCAAATTAAGTATCTTAAATATTCCTACAGAACTAAGTATTTCTTCAACACACTTAGATGCAACCCTACACCCATTAGCCTAGATACATTAATATATATCACCATTACTAGATGAAGGGAAATTCAGTTTCAGTCTTTTACCAGATGAAAGAGTAATAGTGATATGATATGAAACTAGAAAATCCATAACAACTTAGATATATTCATCAAAGAAATTCTGTAACATTTACAAAGTTTAGCTAAAACCAGCCTTTTACTTTCGAGAAAATAAAAGAACAAGAAATTTTGCTTGAAAAATGGTATATATAAGTGATCAAAACTTTAGGTGTATTGCAAAGCACTGTCTACTGTCAAACGCTCAGTAATTTTAAATGCATAATTTCAAAAAACAAAATGCAATAATGACAGCATAATCTCTCATCCAAAAATTCAAACAGAGTTAAACTGTTCAAAAATTTATCAAAACAATAGCACTCAAACTCCTTACATATATAGACAAAATCCAAACATAAATATATATATATATATAATGCCCAACATAAAATTATAAGTATTTTCAATTCATGTGATCAAAATTAAGGTGACTGTTAAAAAGAAGATAAACACAAACACAATAAAGTAAAAGAAGAAAGCACAAATCAATAAACAAAGTACACAATCTCTCTTCTTATAAATCACACTATGTATTACTGGAGTATTTTACAAATCTAGCCAACTCCATTATTCTGTAATTGGGAGCTCTCTGACTCTGGCAGAAAGAACATCTACATAAGACAAACACAGGAATAGGAATCATAATAATAATAATACCACATTTCAAGTCAAACAAAAATCCTAGTCCAGTATCCAAAATCACGGGATATCTACTTCATCACTGAGCACTCCCACTAAACATTTCATGGAGATAAAGCTGCAGCTGATAGTAACTTGTACAAATCTCTTAAAACAGTATGACCTCATTCCAGAAGGACATGATATAGAAACTGCGCATTCATCATGGTTTGTAGCCATTGTTGTGAAGGTGATTAGTGCAAGTTTGCAACCTTTCACATCCTGTTTATAAAGGGGCCAACCATTTAGATGAAACACTAAAATACTAGAACCAGGTGATTAACTCGATTAATTGATTACCTACAAGCATCTATTACACCAATTAGTGTCATGTAAAATTTTGATTAATCAAAATTACTAATAAACAAATATGATTATGGGTATATTAAATCAGTCGTTATTTTGTACACGAGAATATTCCATTGTGAAGTGAGCCAAACTTTATTACTTTAAATCAGCACAATGCCAATTTGACACTTACTGTTTTTGATTCGTAACTGATACGAATTGATTAATTTGAATAAAGCTTGAATTAATCAAAAATAATATTGAGAAATCATAATAGCTGTATTTAGATTACTTGGATTGCTGGAATAATGGAAAACAGTAACGTTCAAAAACACTGATTTTCATAAGTCGTTTATTTTTGTGATCTTATTCTTTTCTACCTCTAATGAGTAAAGTGGCTATTTAATTTACTGTCCTTTTTTACAGTAAAGATGCACCTAAAGTAACAACATGTTTTATCTCCTAGATCTACTTGTGAATGTTCTCTTTACCACCACATACTTGATAATGTTGTTTTCCTATAGAATCATAAACTCAATCTCCAGCACTAAACCTACCTAACACGTGTTAGCCTTTACCTCATAGTAACCTCATGAGTTATTGTTCTGTTTTATAATTAATATCACAAAGTTGTTTATTTTCACCCACAAATATTCAGTAATTTTAGTAGAGTAGTCTTATGAAAATTGGTAGATAGAAACTCATTGAACTGTACCAATTGTATTTTCAGTGTGTTACAGGTTTCATATTATATTTCGTATATGATACTTTTCCATGTCCAACAGTTTAAGATTAAAAAAGTACCTAAATCCTAAAATGTTGTAACTAAGAGCGTCTATCAGATTAAATAAAGGTTAATCTTAAAATGTCTTTAAAATATCCAAAATAAGCTCAAAATAGGAAGATTAATCTCCCATAAGAACGGTCGATTAGTTGTGGGCAATCAATTAGTGAGTTCAGTTGTTACTTGATTAGTAAATTCCACTAATCTCCCAGCTCTACTGAACATCTGTATATAAAAAAGTTGAAAATGTACCTAAAATAAAGATATATTCTTTACCATTATAGAAGATGGAATATAACAGTTCTTTCAACTGCAATATCTGTGTAAGCATATAAAAAGAAAATTAGCAGAGAGGCAGATAGAATAACAAAAAAAAAGATTCTTACTTTGGGGTAACCTAACTGTCATTATATCATCTGTTGGTTTTGTATTAGCACATGGACCTGTCTGATCAATCGGACCTGGTCTTTCAATGATTACTATAGCTTTTTCCCAATCCATAGGATGCTGAAAAATAAAAACTTCATTAGCTAAAAGTTTTCTTTCATGTTCTCTTGCACTTTATTAACCACGCAATACAACATATGTAGTTACTAATTTCTTTTGCTAAAAGATACAACTTATAACAGATAAAACAGAATCTCATAATTTAAGCAAATACACCAAGTATAAAAGATTATGTTCGTGCAAAAATGAGAAAGAAACATCTGTGGTTGACTGATATGTTTCTTAATAGCAGTATTTTTTATTTTTTGAGCAAAATAGTACTAGGATTCCAAAATGTTTGTAAGGTATAACTGAAAAAAAGAAGACTACAAAAATATTTGTCAATGTTCTTTAGTCATGGAGTAATCTTCAAAGTACGATACAGCAGAAAAAAACTAACTTTAATAACACAACTTGTAAAAACGACAAATATATAATACATACTTTTACACGTATTTACAATTTCACGGTACTTCACTAATAATGCCACTATACTAACTGCACAATCACAAAACATGGTGTTTCTGTTGTCAAATATGATTTATTGTAAAGCAGTTTAGGTTTTCTAACTTCTGAAGTGTAAAAAAAAATAGACTCAAATTGTGAATACACTTAAATAAAAGTAGAAATAAATAGATGAAAAACATAAAATTATTAGACCCAAAACATTTTACAATAATTTTTGTTTCAAAGTGCTGCTAAGAATATGGTTTCCATGTCTATTCTGAAGAGGTAAGTTATACATTTCTTTCCTAATCATTCTAGAAACAATACAGTTTTATTTAAACACAGAAACAGGAAATATTTGATTATTATTCTCTTTCGTTTTGACAAAATACAATGTACTTACCAACAATATATACATAACTGGTGACTGAATGTATGTGAATAAAGTGTACTGTCTGTTTAGGATTCTCAATATTTTCACAAACATACAGATTATAAATTAAATCAAGTATCAAGTAAGTTCAAACTTAGGAAGAAGTTCAAGTTACAAAAAAACAATGAGAACACTCTTACCAACCTTGTGTTCATAGCGGATGGCAATACCATATTCCAGAGTTTGAGGAATATTGCTAATATTAAATGTTAAACTGGATCCTTCATACACCTTCATAAAGCCAAGTCCTGTCCATGTTGGTCTTTTACCAGGTTCTGGTTCTCTGACATTTACTTGGCAATTCTATGTCACAAAAATGAAAGTTCATGGTATTGATTTTTTTTTCACATATATAACTAAAACAAAACACCCTCACATAGTCACATACAATAAGGAAATATCAATTAATATAATAAATAACATCACGGTAACGTGAGAGAGCAAGTTATCTATTTTACTGTTGATATTAACTGAGGCTTACATATAAAAATGATTCTTGAAAATAAATATAAGAAACTACCCAAAGTCAATATATTTGTCTAGATATTTTGATGTGGGACTTGTTATAATATGGTCTTAAATATACAAAAAGCAAATTTTGTCATACATGGGCTCATGTTTGAGATCTAGGTGATTATTTGCTCAAACTTGATTCATTTGTATTTAAGTGTTAAATATGTTTAAATTAAGTTCAAACAAACTTAATATAATCTAACCAATATTAAAACAAACTTGTAAATCTAGATAAAATCTCTAAGGAGGAATAACAAAGCATACTTGAAAATGTTTTTGAATAATGAACCAATAAGACAAAATCGATGACCCAGGAAAGAAAGAATTATCATATAAACCTAATTTTTTCAAGTAATTTCATCTTTCAATGAATGAAGTAAACACAAGAAACTAAAAAGGAGCTGGCTTAAGAACAAATGCATCATATTTATGAATCAATGAAGAATTCAATTGTATATCTTTAATAACAGTGTTTGCTTCAAATGGACATTCAGAGGTGTGGAAACAAAATTAAAATATTTAATTTCTTTCTTGACTGTAGAAACAGAACAGGTGAGTATTAACTGTTTTAGTACTACTTGCAATATTGTAAGGTTTTAATAAAAAAGTCATTTTTCCAATTTTGTGTATTCTCTTGCACGATCCTAGTTCAATTACAAGATTGTTATTACCCCCCCTTAAACTTTAAAAATTTTTACGATAAGTAAACCTTCACAAATTTAGGGCATTGAAACAGTTTTGAAATAACAATTGATATGTTTTTTTGGCAAAAAATATATCAATCATTGTTTACAAGAACAGACCAATTAAAGAAAAAATTGTAATTTTTTTTTCTATTGTAAAACTAATCATGTGCTAAGATACATAGCTGCATGCTGAATGATATATATTCATGTAAAATTGAAAAAAAAATTTTTTACCCTAAAGCACAATGTTTGGAATTGTAACGAATATTTCATAATTGAAGTTGTTTTATTGATAAATGATATCCAATTTCTATTAAAAATATAATTTCAGTAAATCTGATTGATGTAAGGGATTATGTACACACTTTTACAATTCTCTATCTGATTGAGCTGAATACAATTAAAAATAAACTGGCTTAAGATTTATGTTTTCAGATTTCATTTCATGAACATGGTATATATCTTTTAGGTTTACTTTACTACCAGATTATGATCTCTATACTGATTAGTTATGTTTATACTTTCCATAATTAATCATTTATACACCCTATACCTTTAAATTATAATATCATAATTAAAAGCATTTAAGACCTACAAACTTTATTATAATTTACTTAAAAATGATTTCATACTCATTTTATGGTAGGTATTTTCTTGTGGCAATTTATCACCCAATTTACCACCCAGAAACAGAAATTCTTAAAAGTTTCAGATTTTTTTTCTTACTTGATGAATACTGACCATTATTCCAAACTCTGTAAACATTTTAAATGCATTTTTTAAATATATAAACACAGTATGAACTAATTGCAATCCATAATTCTATCAGTCTCCCTTACTCGACAGCCTCTTGTAAGTTCAGCTTCATACACAAGGTAATCTAGGTTCCCAGCAAAATAGCCTGGTTCTGGTTTGTCACACTGTCGTCCAATAACATGTGGTCTACAGCGACATTGTCCATTCACTACATCACAGTTACTGTCATATGCCCCACCGGGATCACAACTGCATGGTTTACAGCCAACTTCATCAGAGCCAAGCCCCCAGAATTCAGACTATCATCAAGGTTAATGTATTAGTAAGTATTAAGTAGAATAACAATCTTTTTACAAAGATTTCTGTTCAATTTTTATCTCATATCGTTATTTAGATATTTCTTACAAAAGTTTAGAGAATAAACAAGTAATACATTACATTGATTTAAGTGTTGGATATGATTTTTTGATTTATTGTATTTGTATTTTGGCAGTTAAGCTTTGTGCAAGTTTTTATCTTGTGTTTTTTCAATTTATTTTATCCTCAAACAGTTTTCTCTGAATCTAGCACAGGTTTACTCAAACAATTCCAATTAATATACACACATACACGAATTATAATATAACCTACAATTTATTTATTGTGCATGTAGATGTACACACCAACAAGTAAGCGAACGTGCCAACAATGTTCTAATATAACAATGTAAAATTATACCATTTGTACAAAAGTACAAAAGATATGATTTTAAAGTGAAAATGTCTGAGGTTATAGCTCTCAAAAGCATTGGGGATATTCCATCTATCAGACATAATCAAAACAACAGATGCAGAGCTAATCAGCACATAACAGAAAAAAAGGGGATTAGGATCTGGGTGCTAGAACCCACAAAGTCCCAGATCCTACTATCACTCAACATCTATAAGCCAGTTGTGGGCATGATAGTTATCCCTAAAAAAAAACAAAAAATAGAAATAAGATATTAAACCACCCTTTATTTCTATCATAGATCATCTGACCTTCTCCTTAGTATATTTACTCTGATATTAAATTATGAAATATACAACCTTATTGTACATTTCAAGTAATAATATTGACACTTTATCACTGCAATATATTAATAACTATTCAATATAGTATAAGCAGTAATACTTCAAATAATATTTCAGTTAATGTTTTTATTATGAACTATAAACTATAAACTCACCTATGTGGTATAATTTTACATTGTTATATTAGAACTTTGTTGGCTCGTTCACTTACTTGTTGATGCGTACATCTACATGTGCAATAAATAAACTGTAGGTTATATTATATATACACACACACACACACAAGCACATGTACATACACACATGTGAACTTACGAAGGATATCTGTATGGTTGATTATGGTAAAATTCTCTTTGCTTTAATTTAGTAAAGCATGAGTTTCTAAATCTATTGAAAGTAAACAATTAACGATATATTAAGACTTCATCTTATTATATCTAAGTTTCTTTCTTCATAAAGTTGTATTAAATATTTATAAGTATGAAACAAAATAATCCTAAAATTCAAGTTTAAAAACTGTCTTAATGCTTGTTTTATATTTTAAAATTCTTAGTCTATGTTTAAATCCTTGTATCCTATAAAGTATGATCTTTGAAAAACGTTATATAATAAATGACTCTTGTGGTAATTTGCAATGTTAGCAATACTGTGTCTAAAATATCTTTTACTCACCAAACACTGATCACAATGTCTTCCAATAACATTCCTTTTACAGGTACATTCTCCGCTGAATTCATTACAGCCCTGGTTCCCAACGATACCCAACATATTGCAACTGCAAGCTGCAACAATTCATCAACCATTCTTAAATCCATCTTCACAAGTTAAAAAAAAAATGAATAAACTTCCTTCTTTATAACAAAAAAAACACAACAAAAACATTACTTTGAATTATTTTATACATGACTGGAAAGTTTGTCATTATGAAGTTTCACTTGTTGGGAAATATTACTGAATCAAAATGGATATGCATCCAGAAATGTTAGTTTCTGAATATTATTCTTGGCCACGACTTTACTGTTATATTCAATTTTTTTTCCCTCTTTCATTTCTTGAAACTGTGTATGATTTATAATGAAAATTATTTCCATGACATTATCATAATATAATTACTCCAACTGTCATATTTATCAGAATTATTTAGAACTTAGTTTAAAAAAGGGGAGAGACTCAGTAACCCAATGAACTATGCTTTTCCAAATTTTACTGCAAAGTACTAACTTTAAGTAGGTTCAATTATATTACTTCAAGTCACCTACACAAATATATATAACTCTCATTTATAACACTTAATCACATTTCAACTATAATTATTTTATAATCACAGCAATAAAAAAAAAGTTCTTATTTACCATGTGAAAAAACTATTGCTAAAGAATACATAAAAGTAAAATAGAAACATATTTATAAAGCAAGAATACACAACAGTGATTTTATTTTAATATAAATCTGTAAATAAAAGAAATTATTTTGATTCGTGTAGGTTGTTTGAGTAACAGTCACTGCTTTTACATGGACTGTTCTAGATTCTAGCACATCAAATGTGTAATGTTCCTTAACTGTGAATGCAGTAAATCAATTAGAATTTAGGAATATATTGAAAGTTTTATTTATTTTATTTACTAAATCCTTTTCTACCACTAAGTCATAACATTTCATAAATGGAACAAGCTATGTGATGGACATGTTAACAAAAAAGTATAATAGTTTTGATTCAGACATTTCTTAAAATGAAAGGTGAGAACAGATGTTGATTCAGGTTACAAAATGACATTATTTATTATAGATAAAAAGTAAAATCATTAAAGCTATCTGGCATATTCTTGTATTATATGAAAAGCTTATGAGAATTCGTTTTTGAGAAATAAACTATAATTATTATTTGAAGATAACAATACATATACTTCATCCACCACTAATACATACTTTATTTTTCTGAAATTTATGTGGCACTTTGAAAGCTGGCTTTGAGTTGAAGCAACCACTTTTGGAGTGATGTTTTTTATCATGAGAATTATAAAATACTGGTGAGACAATAGATATTATTTGTATTGTTACTTGGTTACATATCTCAAGTGTTCCATAAATGTTAACAAATCACTGTTCAGTTGTACAATTATGGCTCTGGTAAAAGGGCCATAAGCTCACAATAATTAATTTTTTTTACATAGTGAATGGCTATGTAACTTATTTAATAAAATATAAATATATACTATGCAAAGTGATAAGGATTAATGACATTTGATTATAGGATCTTTTTAGTTGTATGGATATGTATCATAAACAGTAAAACAGACAGAACCAAACATTTGATTATGGGGGTCTTTTTTGTTGCATGAATATGTATTATAAACAGTAGAACAGACAGAACCAAACATTTGATTAAGGGGGGTCTTTTTAATTGTATGGATATGTATTATAAACAGTAAAACAGACAGAACCAAACATTTGATTATGGGGGTCTTTTTTGTTGCATGAATATGTATTATAAACAGTAGAACAGACAGAACCAAACATTTGATTATGGGGGGTCTTTTTAATTGTATGGATATGTATTATAAACAGTAAAACAGACAGAACCAAACATTTGATTATGGAGGTCTTTTTAATTGTATATATATATATTATAAACAGTAAAACAGAGAGAACCAAACATTTGATTATAGGATCTTTTTAGTTGTATGGATATGTATCATAAACAGTAAAACAGACAGAACCAAACAATCGATTATGGGGGTCTTTTTAGTTGTATGAATATGTATTATAAAGAGTAGAACAGATAAAACCAAACTGTGAGTGATCACATAGTGAATTTCCTTTTAACGTGAGGGGGTTGTCATTAACCATTTTTGCAAAAAACTACCATGCGCATTAGGATGCATGTTCTGTTTCACCTCAAAAAAACTATTCGGTGATGCTTCAAGGTTGAAATGCTTGTTTTGGTATTACTATGGAATGAGTTTATGACTTGTTATGATGTGATCCCCTACTAAAAGTGTGCACTCTGTGTCAAACTATTCACACTTAGGGGTTATGGTATGATACATACTAGCATCTTCACCAACAGCTACCATAATCAGATCAGTATCTATTCAATGATATGATTTATAAAGTACCACCTATAACTCACGTTCACATCCATTAGGATTATCAAGTCTAAATTTCCAAAATCCATTCTTGCAGTGATCACATCGTCTTCCTTCAACATTGCTCTTACAGTAACATGTTCCTGCCATAATCCCATTAGCTGGATCACTTCGAGGCTCACAATTACCTTCCTCTAAAGACCCACGGGGATCACAGTCACATGCTGTAAAATAAAACATGAAAATTCATAGACCTGTCATCATGAGAGCTTATAAACTACATTCAATTGTATGATTTAAATTTCCATTTTTAAGCTATACAGAAAGATTTTCCATTAAAAGAAACTCAAAGAAAATATCTTATATTTAATATAAGTGTAATTAAATATATACTATTAAAGCTTTGTGTTTTTTGCAGAGTTACAGAAACTATATATGTGCATCCTAAAAATGTTCTTGTAAATCATTTTAGCATTATTCTAATTAAATTTTTTTCTTTTGATATACTTAGTTCTCACTTCATATCAATAGATGAAGTTGTAAACATTGTGTTTGTAATAAAGTTTAGTATAGCTTATGTGTTGTCACTAGGTGATAACACAAATTTTAAAACTCTTGTGTTTTTTAAGTAATTGAACAGTACCTGTATATGTTTTAGAAAAAGACAGACCTAGGCTAACTGCATATTAAATGAATTCTAATAAAATCTATTACTTTGGCACTTTGATGGCTAAAAAATTAAAACACAAGAAATAACTGTCCTACACTTACATTTATTTTATAACAAAAAATTAATGTTAAAGGAATCATGTTGACTAGAATAATAAAGTAAGCAATCATTATTGAGTTAAGAAAAAGATAACTTACTAGATGCTTCCAGATATTAATTAAACATTCACAAGAAATATGATATTTCTGGGATCTAAGGATTTTACCTCACATTTCAAAACTAACAGCTAAATATTTCAGCAAATCCTACTATAATTTGAGAGAAGTATATTTGTTTGTCACGTACTCTTCCTAGGCTTTTCCATTTGGATCTGTCAAATATGGTTTAATTAACTAGGAACAATTTGGGGTCTATCAAATATGGTTTAATTAACTAGGAACGATTTGAGATCTGTCAAATATGGTTTAATTAACTGGGAACGATTTGGGGTCTATCAAATATGGTTTAATTAACTGGGAATGATTTGGGATCCATCAAATATGGTTTAATTACTAGGAATGATTTGGGATCTGTCAAATATGTCAAGAAGAAGTAATTTTTCTTTTAAAATGCACAGATTTCATAGCTCCAGTGCTCACTAAATACAGATCAGTCAGAGGGGTGGCCACGAGGGGTATTAATGGGATTTCTCCAGTTTCCTCTTTCATTACATGGGGTATACATACAGTCTATGTACTTTCAATCATTATTGGGATATTCAGGACAAAAACAGAAGCACTATTTATATTAATAACTGATAAAACATTAATTCAATAATTGCATTTCATTTTCAAGTCCCATCAATCATTTAAGGGATTTCTTTTTAACACGTTCTTTATGCATAATTTCAAGTTATATACCCATATATTAAGTGAAATGTTCTTAATTTATTTACTTTTTTTCTTTTAGATAAAATGAAACAATGACCCTTCTCCATAAAATCAATAAATGAATCAGATAAACAATTTTTTAATTTTCATAAACCTCTCACTGTACATCTGCTAGTATCAATGACAGGAAGATATTTAGAATGAATAAAAAAGCTCTTTCAAACAATAACAAAACTTCTTTTTTTGAAATAATCTTAAATTTCTGATACTCACGTTGACATATACTTGGGTCTGTTATTTGACGTCTGGGATCCTGGAAATAAAATGCTTTGCACTGTTCACAGTTTCTACCAACTGTATTGTGTTGACAGCCATCACACACACCTCCACTCACTCTACCAGTTGATTCCCATACTGCTGGGTCAAAGTGACATTTGGCAGCATGTTCATTACAATTACATTCTGTTAAATGTGGATATAAAAAAAATGTCTATTTAAATATGGTGGTCACGATGTACCTGTGAAATTTGTTACTTTCTTTTATTCGTATAACAAGTCTGAAAAAAAAAAACTAAACAAATTTTCCAAACTATATAGAGAACAAACAATAACAATTTAATTATAAATCTCAGTTTACTTAATTTTACATTAGCTTGTGATATGTTATACTTATATTTGGCATCAGCATTTCTGTATATCAAAATTTTTAAAACAAATGCTTACTTTTGGATAACTATAAGCTAATACTTTTTATACTATTGTATATTTCCTAATTCCTAGTTGTCATTCTTTAAATAAATGATAAACTCTCATTCCCAAATTTTCCTGAGAGTTGACAGTTCAAAAGAAGTTATAAAGAATTACAATTGAGATTTACAGAAACAATCCAATAATTAAAAAGAAATAAAAATTGTCTAAAACAACAAAAGAAGAAAAATTCAGTCAGTTGAAGAGAAAAAAAAAAGACTGTAGAAAGGAGAGTCTTGCAGTAACCCAGAAGTTCATTAGATTGGAGTGAGATTGAGGCTGTAAGTAATCCCAAGAATTCAATACTCAAAAATGAGATACCAGGACAGCTCTTCAAAAAAAGGAGCTCAAAAGAGCAATTGGACAATGATAATTCAATTGTGCAAACAAGTGAAGAAACCCAATAATAAGGCAGTTAGGAACAGGATCATGATGGAGAAACAGCTTAAACAGCAAATCCACTAAAAGTGACAATCTGTTGTTCCATAAAGCAACTATACACATAGTGTTTATGTTAAGTATGTTGTAATACAGACTGTGCATTTTGTATTTTATTTTTTGTCTAGTCTTTTTGTTCCACTGAACATCACAACTCAGTCAGAGATTAGGCCTGGCATGGTGGTTACGAGTTCAAATCCCCATCACACATCATGCTCACCCGGTGTCCAGACTAGGATGCCAGTCCTATTCCCAGATACTCACCTCCAAATGAATTTGGAGGTGTGAGAAACACCATATGAAACTACTACTCAGAGATTTAGAATTACTTCATAATTGGCATCTTGACCATATCTCCTGTTACTAAGCAGACCTATCCCACTGCTCAAACATAAATTCATTTTTATCTGGACCTGCCACAGAATGGATAGGAGGGAGGAAACTGTGGTACTATGACCAGGATATTGTATTGTGGAGTTCACTATATTTGCTATTATGTGTGTACTTTCTTTTACTCCTAACTTTTGTGTGATATAAATTTACTCTAAGATGGCAGAATGATGAGGAACATTTGATAGCTTGTCCATTGATTCTGTTCAACCTAAGGCTCTTTGCAATTCATGGCTGTCTCAGCAGTATGTCTCTTAGCTTGGGAAGGCTCACCACTGTCCCATGATCTATTCATTTTGCCATTCAGTACCTGTCATCTCACCTACTGGTTAGATAGCTCCAATTAGCAGATGTCATCCACCAATTGCACCTCCAGTTTTTCTCTGTTCTGTGGTGGCTTTAACCAGAGCTGGGGCTGAATTACTGTGGCTGCTGTAAGTCTGAGAATCTTGTACAGACCACCCTACTCAGTTTCAGACTCACCAGATGCTACACCACTGCAATGATCCTCAGTTATCTATATTTCTCTTGCACCAAGTTAGGACAGCCATTATGGGTGCACTAGATATTAATGGCTGTTCTTTCTGAATTGTCAGTTGTAGTGAGAGACAAGTCCTGAGCCTTCAAAGCCTTGGTGAAAATCCTATGTCCAGGAGAGTACTCCTAGATATGACAACTGTCTCAGACAAACATCCTCCTTAGTGCTTGACACTTTTTCTTGGTTGTAAGTCCTTCTAGTCTTGAAAAATGTGATTTCCATAACTATGATGCCTTTTAAAAGCCTACCACTCAGAGTGTTAAGGTTTCTCAGTTGTGAAGGAGAGTGTGTAGTTATGATCATGGTTCCCCATGAGTAAGGCAAAACAAGTCATTCCTCCAACATTCAAAGGTACAGCAAAGGATGATTTGGACTATTCTTTGAAGCATTTCAGGCAGGTAACTGCCTATAATGGCTGAACTCTAGAATAGGTTATACAATGCTTGGTTCTAAGTTTAAATGATTTGGCCCTTGACCCCATTTCACACTTAAATGGGGAGCAACTCTGGGACTGGAGGGAATCATTAATAAATTGTGCTGGAGGTTTGACCTGGTGGAAGACACAGAAATCTATCAAGCAGAATTCAAGGCTCAGAAGATGATCAGCTCAATTTGCATGTCAAAATTTACCCTGCAATGGCCTCATAAGATCACGAGGATATCCTCACTGACAAGTTGTGGAAGAGCTACTCAGCACGATGATGTGGCATCAACCTGGGTGTGAGAGATCTTCCTACCCTCAATGAGGAAGTTTCTGTCACAGCCTGGTACAAAGTCAGTTGCAAGAGGCGAAGCAACTTGTAGTGGCAGTTGCAGTAACTTCACTTTGGACACACTGTCCTACCCAGAATACCACACCATGACAAGTCTGAACCCAGATGAGGGTCAACCAATCACCAACACATCCTGGCACTGTGATGCAACCACATTGTATCCTGTGAATAGATAGGGCTATCTCAGTCTTTCCATGGTTTATATGCTGAAAACTATGCCACCAATGTCTTTATCAGGGCATAACCCTAGAAGGGAGACATGATGTATCTGTTTTGCATGTCGAATATTGGGTCACTTTCAAGTGAACTACCAATATCTTTTCAACTAACAAGGTAGACAAAGTTATTGGTTTTGACTGATGGTGCAACAGGTACAGGAGAGCCAAGAGCAAGCAGTGAATTCTGCTGCTACAGATCGGGAAAACTAGAGAAGCCCAAGTCAGGCCTGCCCACAAACTTAGGGGAATGCAATGAATAACTTGCACCTAAAAGTGTGGTAGTCAGCTTAGCAATCTCAAGGCTGGATGATATTGTATGTGCTTATGGAAATACAAGGTCAAAAGATAACAGTTCTTAGTTCATACAGAAGTGGCCAAAAAGACTAGTAAATCTCATAGCATATCAGGAGCTTCAAGT